TGGATGGATGGATGGATGGGTGGGTGGGTGGATGGAGGGACACAGTAGCCCCTTTGGACATTAATGTACATCACTTATGCCTCTCAAACTCAGGTCTGTTAACACCATGAAATCAGTGCCTCACAGAACACTCTTTGGGAAATACCCCTCAGTTTCATGGCCGGTTCACTATTCATAAACGACCCTAATAAACAGCTTTGCCGGGAGGGGGCTGTCCAGGATATCCTGGCGGAGGTGAAGAGTGCAGCGGCTGCTTATCTGGACTTTGAGAGCCTGGGTCCTTTCCCGCCCCCACTTTGGGCTGTTATCTGAGCCCTGAAGCTGCCTGTGTCTGGGGAGGAAGGTGGGCAGGCGTGGAGTTGTCAGAACCAGGGCAAAGTCTTCCGCAGTGCCAGAGTTTTCAAGGACGTTTTCCACGCACTGTGCAGTTCTGGACGACAGCAGTGGCTGGTGGGTGGGCGGGGCATGGCGAGCTCAGCTGCTGTCCTTTTCAAGAGCCAAGCTCTGCAGACCCTGAGGTAACCTCAGAGATGGGGAAGCCCATTTGACCGACAGAATCTTAGAAATGTCACAGAGCAGGAGACCAGCAATTTCCTAGTTTGGGTTTGGAAAGGAGAAATTGACCCCAGATGGTATAAGCTGAAATGTTACAACCAAAGTCTTTTTCAGTGTCCCTCATTCTGCCCCCTGTTGCCATGACAACTCGCCTAATACAAGGTGCTCAACCAGAGCTTTCAGGTCTTCCCTTTCCTAGGGGCTTCTTCCATGGCCTCCGAAGGTTCATCATGGGATCAGGGGGCTTCAGTTACCTGAGTTTATAGATTGGTGAGGAACGTGGGGCAGGGTCTAAAGAAGTTGATGGGATCCCTGGAATAATGGATTCATCCCCACCATCCCCGGCAGATACCGGGGCAAGAAGGGGAAAGAGAATGGCTGGGCCTCTGAGTTCCTTTTCATTTCTTTTTATATTTAGCTTCTATATGGCCAACCTTCTATAGCATTTCCTAAGACGACCTGTATGGAAACCAGTGATCAGAGCTTTGGGAACAAAACTGTCCAATGTTCTAGGTTTGCTAGGCAAGTTGCCTTCAAATCTTTAAATACTCTACATCTTGGTCACTTTTCTTGTCTCTGGGACACAATACCCAGCACCTGCAACCTAGAGGAGAGGTTTATTTTGGCTCATGTTTCATGGTAAGTTGACTCCAAAGAAAAACCAACATGGCAGAGGAGCAGGGCAGAGGAGAAGCTGCTCATGTCACGGCTGATAGGAAGCAGAGAGTGAAGGGCAGAGCAGGGAGAGAGATAAACCCTTCCGGGCCATGCCCACAGTGACCACCTCTTCCAATAGACCCCACTGCTTAACAGCAGTTAGCTATGAGCGCCATGACTCAGCCACCTTCCAACAGCCCTGCCTGTGAGCACTGAGGCTCTCGGGGACGTCTAGACATAAACCACAATGCTGTGTACATACGGAGTATGCAGTTCTTTCTAAGCTACATGGTGCTCTCCAGAGCCAGCCTGGGATGCTGGTGTAGAACATGGCTTGTGAGATCTGGGATTTATACTTGATTTTATACAAGTGGACCCTCGAGTTTCGACAAGCCTGGCCTATGAACAACTTGGGTTATGACTGGAATTTTAGTTTTAACTTATGAGTAAAGTCTTGAGTTATGGCCTGAATGCTGGCCGCTTGTGCATCCAGCTCTCAAGTACAGATTTAACCCTTAGAGAGTTCTGGAAGGAACATGACAGCATCACTTCCTGTGTGTGGTTGAGAAATCCTGGGCGAGTGTCTCTCTGAGGACACTGAGATCTGCCTGTGTACAGGAGAGAGACTCTGAAGGCTGTGTAGAGGAGCCCGAGCCTTCAATTGACCAACCTGAGTTACAACCAGCCCTTGGGAACGAATTGAGTTCGTAAGTCAAGAGTCCACTGTACACTGGTAAGGAACCAATGCTCTGCTACCACCTGGCTGAGTGACCTCGAGCAAGTCCCTTCACTCTTCATGGTGGAAAGGCACAGCTGACCCTGCGTCTTCAGGCTGTCGAGCAGGGGAGATGGCATTTGCAGATGTGGTCGGGAAGTGAGACACCAGGCACTGCCCTGTGCTGCTGGCGCCACTGCTGGAGAGCGTGATTTGGCAAGATGTAGTGCTCGCCTTAGGGAACCGCTATCCCAGTCCCAGGTAGAGACCCCAGAAAATCCCTACGAAAGTACTCGCGGCAGCACCACTCGTGTGGCCAGTCGCTCGTGTGGGTAAAGGTCCAAAGGCGCTGCCAGGCCACGCAGAGCCCACAACAGGGGCTCCCAAGAAGCTGCGCAGACGCCTTCATCCACATTAAGGGCATAAAAGGTTGGGAATTGGAAATCGTAAAGATTATTGCAAGAAAGGGGTCTTTGGGAGGAAATTGGGTCATTGATTCCAACGCCTTCCTCTCAGGCACCTTGGAGAGATCAGTTTGGGCTCCCTGGAATTAGCGGAACATCGGCAAGAAGCTGAAGGGGCCGCCCCCTGCTGGTGTCCAGCGTGGGAGCCGCGAATGTTTCCTTTGACCGGATGTGAGCCCCGAAGAAGCCAGTCAGCGTGTCCGTCTCACATCCTGCCCGACAGCGACACCTGGAGGGCCGGTGGGACTGGATGGTGCTTGAGGGCTGAAGCCGGAGCAGGGGGACTGCAGGTGAGAGACCCTCAGCAACGTCGGGGTCTTCCAAGAAGCCCTGGAAGCTCTTTGAGCAGACCTAGGGGAAACACATGCCCCACATGGAGAATGGGGGCCTTTCTTTCCCTCTGCAGAACCGCAACTACTGTGGGCGGAACCGGATTTGGTAATTTGAGAGAAGAGTGTGCTCTGATTTTCCACCACCAGGGGACACACGTGTAACCAGCAGCGAGGGTTGCCTGGGATGGAAAGAAGGAAGTTGTAAGTGCGATCCGATCTCACAGTACTGACACCTACATTTGTTCTAAGCCTAAATAACCACGTTTGTTTTTAACTCGTTCACAGTATGAGCTCAGACTACATCTGTGCTCACCAATTCCTGGTGGACTACATGACCCATCTCTTCCCCAGCTCCCTGGCTGCAGGGTGAGGTGAACTTGTGGGTGGTCCCTGCTGAAACACGGAGGAGGTGTTGGACCGGAGGGTGCTGGGATTCCTGCCAGGGAGGGCTGGCATTGGGGGGTGCAGGCTTCTGAGCCCTACTGTGTGCCTGCCAGCTGGGTGACCCAGGAGCGCAGGTCCCTAGGGTGGCCTGAGGCAGTGGGGCACCTGGGCGGGAGGGGCTGGAAGGAGCCCAGGTTTCAGGACAGGGCTGAGTGTTTAGCTCTGGGAGGGGCAGGGGCACCGTGGGCAGCCAGCAGGCAGGTCAGGGTCAGAAGAAGCAGGACCTGAGGCCGCACCCCAAATTTCCCTGGCAGGCAGGTGGGCCAGGTGGTTTATTTCACAGCATCTGTCTCAGCCCCAGCAGAGGGACAAGGGGCACCGTGTGACACCCCGGGACTGAGATCACTGTGAGGTCTGTCACCAGCAATGCCGTCACAGTGGTTACACACAGCACCCTCATCAGCGTGGCAGACTGAAGTGGCCACAGCTGAAAGGACACTGTGGCTTGGAATTGGTTTTAAAATACACCAGCCCACCCTGAAAGCTAGGGAGACAGAGGAAGCAAGAATTTCTAAATGTGGTGGGAATCTCTATTTTTGTGATGTTTGACATTTTCTGTGAAGTTAAAGAGAAAATCTGCGGGAAGAATGGGTCTGGAATCAGTCTCCACCTTGTAAAAGTGCTTGTTTTGGGGTTCGTATTCACCAAAAAGCTGCCTCCCCAGGTGTGTATTGGATAGGCCCCTTTAGGGCCTGAGGGTCCTTTGAGTGATTTCCTCTGTGAGTTCTGTTGTAAGTAGCACTGTGCCAGCCTGTTGCCAGGTCACAGAAGGAAGGTGTAAGGGATGGAGCGTGTGACTTTCCAGTGACCCCCCCGAATGCCCTTGCCCAAGGCTGCCCCTCCACCCCCAGGGCCAGGGTGCACCATGAGAACCACAGCTGTAAGGTCCACAAGTGCTGAGAACTCACCCAACTTTCCCTTTCCCGAGTTCCTGCCAGCACCGGATGCTCCCCTCCTCACCCTCACCCCTGTCTTCCACTGGGCTCTCAGCAGCCTTGTGAGCCTGCTTCCTCTGGTCCAGGTCTTCCCTCCCTGTCCACCCTGCCAAGCCTTGCTCTGCCTGGGGCTGTGGAAAGCCACTCACCAAACACATGCCCTGTAGTGGGGCCCACCAGATGTCCCACGGCCAGCCTGGCCTCTGGACCTGTACCTTCTCTGCACCTGCCCTTGAATTCTGGGGTCCTCAGCTGGATCCGAGGCCCTCTCCTCCTCACCTGCTCGGGCCAATACCCTGGTGTTGTAATGCAAATTAGTGACCCAGGACTGAGGCTCTTACTAGGTATTGAGGACAGCAGCCCTAGATGGAGTTGGGGAGCCCAACACGGAGTGTGCTGTTACGACTCTCTAGGGACCGTATGAAAGCATCTGCTGGAGTCTGACAGCTGTTGGGGACCCCCCAGAGTGTGAGCAAACAGGCCATTGGCCCAAGGGCAGATGGGCCCTGCGTGGACACTGTGGGAAAACTACACAGACCAGGCCCTAAAGAGTACGTAGTCTCCCAAGGGGTAGATTATGTTGCCTACTCAGTGGCCTGAGCTCCCTCCTCCACCCTTAAAAATCTCCTAGGCCAGAGCCTCCTTTGGCATCCTGCTCAGGAACCCCTCCCAGCTAGCAGGAGCTCTACTTCCTTGCCTTTATATTTCTAAATAAATGTGCAGTTTCACTCTTTGTCAGCATGCGACATAGGCCCAGCGTTCTGGTAACACCGTCCCAAGCACACTGGCCTTCTGACGTCAGCCTCTGGTGGGTACCAGCTGAACCACACCTGGCTGCTAGGGGCACCTCCCCTCACCTCAGCCTGGCCTGGGCCCGACTCACCCTCCTGGCTACTTGCAGAGCTCAGCATCTCAGCCCACAGTGGCACCGTCCAACTGGAGAACCCATCCAATCTTCTGCCAGGGCTTCTGATGCCACCTGGACGCCTTTCAGCACCACCTCCACCCGTCCCTGGGCCTCTGTTGTGCACACTCTGGGCCATCCTTGCTGCTCCCTGAGATCCTGGTAACACCTCACTCCAGGCTCCCTGGCTCCGAAAAGCAAATACCAACCCATCCAAAGTACCCATCCAAAATACCAACCCATCCCTTCCCTGCACCAGTGCCTCTGCTCTGACAGTTCAGGGGAAAGCCCTCTCCATGGCTTGCCAGGCATGGCTGCCCCTGCCCTGCAGCACCTTGTGCCCCCTTCAAAGCGGTTCACCAGTGTTGGCCTCGGCCTGTGCTGCTCCTCCCCACTCTGTCGGGGTCGCTTCTTCTCTTCCAGCACCGTGGGGAATCTCCCTGGAGCCCCCAGACTCACTTAGGATCCCCTGTTCTGTGCTCATTTCTTTTGCTGCCCCAGCACGGCTGCCATTTCACACGTTGACATTGATTGCCGCGACTGCATCTACGTCCTCCCGCCACCAGATGTGCCACCAGGCAGGGCTGGGCTGCTTCTGCCCGTGTTCATGCACTGAGCACCTATTTGTTAAGATGAGTTTGGAACAAGTCTCAGACTGGGAGTCATTTCCCTCCCTGGGCCTCAGTTTCCCTGCTCCCCTAGCCTGGTAGTGAGCCGCCACAAGCCCCCACACACCTGCAGGCAGCGAAAGTGACAGATGGCTCCAGCTCCTCCCTCCAGGGTGACTTCCCGGGCTGCAGCAGGCTGGCAAAAGGCTCAGCCCGCCATGGCCCTCGAGTGGCCACCCTGAGCAGGGACCTCGCCCTCCAGGCCTGCCCACCGGTGCCACCTCACACCAGAAGCCCACTTTCCAGGGCCTCACTCCCTGGCTCCCCTTGTCCTGCTGGAGAAACACAGGCTCTTCCTGACAAGGGTGTCCCAGGGCGCCACTGCTGCTTTTAGCAAGAGACTATCTGGGGACCCGCGTGGCCCCTCCGTGGCCAGGAGAGTGCTGGGTACCACGAAGACTCCCCAGGGTGTGTGTGACTCCATGAGAGAAGGAAACATGCACCTCTGCAGATGGTGCAAGAGTCCTAGAGACCATTTCACCCACACTGTGAGCTGCCATTTACAAGCAGATGGGGCTGGCTGTGTCCTCCTACATGAGCTTGGAAGCATGGGCTGGGGGCCACGACGGGCTGAGAAAATCGTGTTTGCTCCGAGTGCGACCTCAGCAACGCAGGATGGCCACGAGCACAAACTTTAAGATGGTTAAGTTTCAAAAGCCCCTTGAGAATTTTTTTCCAATGGCAGATTTTCTTGTGCTAACAAACTTACCTGTTGTAGCTACAAATAAAAGGAGCCCTTTACTTTCTTCATCTTACGTGTCACAGGGGAGCCAGGCTGATGCGGCCAGCAGCTGTCTCTGTCCCAAGGTCCCATCTAGGCCTAGTTTGCCTGGGGGGGTGAGCAAGCCTTGCTTGCTATGTTGCTGAGTGAGGAAATAATCAGTATTTGCAAGGTTAATACAGGACCATCAAAAGACAGCACTATCTTCATAAAGTGGACCTTAGAGTTACGACTGGCCTGACATACAAACAACTTGGGTTATGACCGGAATTTTAGTTTTAACTTAGAAACAAAGTCTTGAGTTACGTCACTTGTGGTTCCAGATGGTCTCAGATACAAATTTAACCCTTAGAGAGTTCTGGAAGGTACCTGACAATGTCCTTTCCTGTGTGGGGTTGAGAAATCCTGGGCCAATGTCTAAGGACACAGATCTGCTGTACACAGGAGAGACTCTGAAGGCTGTGTAGAGGACACTGAGCCTTCAATTGACCAATCTGAGTTACAAACAGCCCTTGAGAACGAATTGAGTTTGTAAGTCAAGGATCCACTGAAATTGCCTACGCTTAATAGACATGAAACTCTTATAGCTATTGTTATGGTTTATTCCTATGGGCTCATAGGCGGGGATTTTGGAAGGTGATTGGATCATGGGGTTTGGCGCTGTGAGGAGGTGGGGCCTGGCCATGGGGGCGTGGCTTGGAAGGGTGCATCTCCCTGCCTGGCTCCTCCCTTCGCCCTCCGCTTCCGCCCACCTGTGTGGGGTGCTTCGCTCCACTGCGCCCCTTACCACACTTTCCTGCCTCGGAGCCAGCCCGCTACACTGCAAACCTGAGTCAAAATAAACCTTTCCTCCTTTACTCTGGGGGTGTGGGGTACGGTGTCTCAGCAGTAAGGAAAGTGATTGTTCATTATTAATAAAACATGAAGTAGCACACACAATAAGTGTATAAATATATAAAATATTAGTGTCTGTGTATATTACAGATTGATCAGTCTATGATCTATCATTTTGACTTACAAGTCAATAATGGATCCCTTTCCCTTCCCTGATTATCTAATTATTTCTTCAATTATTAATTTAAAATGATTGTTTTTGCCAGTATTTACATAACCAAGGAAACTAACAACTGGGAGTGGTAACTGGATTAAATTCTTCAGTTATTTCTTGGAAGAATGCGTCCATGCTGTACTCAAAGTACAGTTCCATTTGCAAATGAACCAAGTGAGAAAAAAAATCTGAGTATGAAACAGAATATAGTGTGAATCATATCTAATTTTAAATATTTTAATTTATATGCTTTCAGGAATATAGGTCAATAAGAAATCCACTTTTCAAATTTTATTTCATTACAGAATATATTTGATAAGGATACATATGAACAGATTCATCTTTAACACGCATTGCTCACTGGTGTCCTGCACTCCCCAGCAGGCTACAGATGTCATGAAAAGCATCTTCAGGTGTTGCACGTCATCAGCCACTCTAAACAACCAGTGCTGTAGAGTTTGGATAATTGAATTCATCCACTTGCTTAGAACGAGTAAAAATTTTAATATTTGTTCTTAAGTCTGTTTATTACTTTTCTATTAAAAATCTGAGATACATTCCCCAATGTAAACAATAAATTTCAATCTGTCACACAATGGATAAGGCCTTCTTGACAAGTTTATGCCACCTACGTTCTACTCATCGGAACACAGGCTTGTTTCATACTGAACCGAGCCGTCCACGCACAAAAGACGGGACGAGAAGCTGCCCTTCGTGCCCGCAGCCTTTTGAGACCTCTCCTCTCCGCAGGTATACTGAAGAGATTTCTTCTTCACTTGGTCTGCTTCGTTGTAAAATACAAATGTACAGTGTCCATAGCATAAAGCAGTAAAACCTGGCCTTAGGTATTTATTTTGAGTTGCTAACACGCTATACAAGTACAATACCATGTCATGCCATTAATATACAGAGGAAGCGGCGAAATGTCTTGCATTCATCGGGGCATGTGAGCAGGACGGGTGCCTGTGTCTGGGGCAGCAGGGCAGTGTGACTGGAAACGGAAGCCCTGTACACCCTGCTGCAATGGTCAGATTCGTCTGCTCATGGAACAATGCAACCCTGGCCTGCCAGCCTCCCAAAGTAAGAGTTTCATGAAATCCTAGAAAATGTAACCAAAGAAAGTCTCACATTTGCATTTCCTGACTCAGCTATGCGAATCACTGATTCACTCTCTTCTCAAATGATTTATCCTTTTAGGACCATTAGTCAACAGTGATCAGCATTCAGTACCTCATTATTATCATAAATATCTGACTTAGCAAGCGAGATGGTGAAACAGTGAAGACTATATACAGTATTTTAAAAGGCATTCTGTGACCATTTTTGAACAGTTTATAGAAAAGATGCTAAGGATTCACTAGTCCCTCCCGTGGATGGCATTGTAATGTGAACCCAGGGACCTGCTCTATTCCGTGCTTCATCTATTATACAACGGAAGCGGAAATGCGCTGCTTATCCGATGTGGTACTCGCTGACTCCCTAAGCTAAGGTAACCGGTAGAGAGATTGTTTTCCTGAGGTGTGTAAGAATTTTTAGTCAAAACAGAAATCACAGTGACCAAGCAGAACTCAAATCTGTCTTCTTGGGCATGACCGCTCTCCAGCTCGTGCGGGGTTAAATGACCCGCCACTGCATGATGCTTGTGTCCTTCCCGCCCGTGGAGATGAGGTGGCTGTCTTCACAAAGGAAGTCCACGTTGGTGACGTGGCTGCTGTGGCCGCCGTAGATGTGGCTCGGCGCCTGGGAAAGGGGACAGGGAGGGCAGCTTACTGCAAAGGAAGCACAGGGACCCGATGGCGCCCGCAGCCTCCACACCGTCCCTTTGCTCAGCAGCTCTCCGCTGTTCAGGACCTGGGAGGCATCAGACCCCCGCTCTCCCATGGACTTGGGGGGTACTGGGAAGGGCGGGACCAAGGAGCCCCTGGGGCCGAGGGTGGGGTCTCCTCCCCAGAGGGTCAGATTCAGGGAGGATTGAAAGGTGTTCAAGGTGCAGGTGGCCCAGCTCAGCGGGGCGGGGGGAGAAGAAGCCATGGGGTAGGGAGGCCACAGAGGTTCACACACATCTGCAGGGCTCTGCAGGCTGTGCCAGGGTTGGGGTTCTCCCAGGGAACTGGGGAGTCCCGGAAGTGCCCGGGGCCACAGGTTAGCAGGGCACTAGCTACACCAGTGGCTGGTAGCACCCACTCACAGCCCATTGCTGTTCAGTGTCCATTCATGCACTCCTCACAGGGGATAAGCTTAGAGGAAAGACAGTCCTGTACCCTAAACTGGGAGCAGGGGTACGAGAAGAGGTGCACTTTGCCGAAGTCGTCGCCGGTCGACACGAGCTTTTTCTCATGGGCCCGACAGACAGCGTTGATGTCGGTTCCATCCGAGCCTTCTGGCCACACTCCTAAAACAGACCACAAACAGCACTGGGGAGGGCCGGGGATGTAGCTCAGTGGTACAGCACCTGCCTGGCAAGCACAAGATCCTGAGTTCCATCCCTGGTACCAAAAGAAAAAAACAAACAAACAAACACTGGAGAGCAGAGAGATGGACCACACTGTGGGCACAGGAGCTGGCCACTGGGCTACCAAGAAAACTAAACAGCCCTGCATCCACCTCAGTGCTGGCCTTTCCTGTGCTCCAGGTGCAGCCCCTTCTGCCTGCCTCTTGGGGCGCCACTTCTGGATCCCAGGGCAGAGCACTGGGCACCCCGTTCTGTGGCCACCTTTGCATCCTCAGAGCACCGGAGAGAGGCCAATCAGGATTCAAGGCTGCAGTTTCTTTTGCTTAGTGTTGGCTCTCTGTACAGGAGACTCTTCAAAGGTGCCTCTCCTGGCTCTCTGTGCCTTTCCGGTGTTTCTCAGCCTAGCTCAGGGGCTGCTGCTTCTCCGTCCAGCAGGTGCGCCTGAGGCTGCTGCTGCCTGCTGGCCGGGCCTGGGGCAAGCTGGGGCTGGGGGACCCTGTACTGACCGTCCCAGTCACTGTGCACGCAAGCTGCATGCATATCAATCCCCTTGGCAGCACTTAGCATGTAACACCAGAAAAGCATCAGATACCTCCGCTAAGGAGATTTGTGAATTCTCATCAAGTTGTGACTTGTAGTCTTTCATGAAAAGATTACAGATAATGCCTTTTCATTTTATTCTACTAAACTGTGGTAATTTATTTGAGGTCATCTAAGAATACATTCCTAAACTACACTCTGAAGGAAGTGAAATATTTAGTTTAAGGACCAAAACATGTAGTAACTCTGCCAGACAGTAAGTACATATGGCGCGTGGAGGGGCCGGGCACAACCTGAGGAGAAGGCTGCAGAGCCTTCTCTCGGGGCCCAGCCACACTGTGGGAAAGGCTCAAAGCCACCTCTCTGGTTCTCATCTGCCAGCCCAGGCCAGGGCGCTGCAGGGAGAGGTCCCGGGGGTTTGCAGAAGCAGGAACTTTGACAAGCCTGGTGATGGTGAGGTTGTCTAACTATTGGAGAAATATCCAAAAAATAGAGGAATGTGTTGTTCCCATTGTGGAGTGGCGCAATCCGCAGGAAACTTACCAAAGACGTGGAATCCCAAAGTGCAGGTGTAGGTGGCCCATTCGATGTCTCTCGTGGCTTCCACACTCACGACTTGCTTACAAGCCGAGGGAACCCCTGGAAAAAGCAAACAGCCTTGTGACACCCAGGCCCAGGCCCCCAGCGCTGCCTCGGGCAGGTCTGAGTCCTCGGAGGCAAAGGCAGGGACCTCTCGGGAGCTGCTGCATGGCTGCCAACTGGCCAGGAGGCTGAGCCGCATCTGGGCTTAGCAGAGGTCACTTCTCTATGCTCTTCCCGTCTCCCCAGAGGCTGTTCCCACAGAACGACCTTTCCTTTCTACGACTAGCCCCTGGTCCTCAGGCTTCCCTGCTTGGCATCCTCTCTGGGGGCCCGGCACACTGCCCTACCTCTGTGGTCGGGTTGTCCCCACTCAGCCCCAGGAGTTCTCACAAATGGCATAGGAGGCCATGCCTGAGCAGGTTCTGCCCAAGGAGTATCCCCCAAAACCATCAGCCACTCCTGAGACTCCAGCAGGACCGGGACAAGCATGCACCTGGTAGGGACACCAGGTGGCACCTGTCCCTACCAGAGGGGCTCCCTGCTTCCCTTCCCCTGCCTGACTGGGTCCTCAAGCGGGCTGTGCACCCCAGAAGTGTGACTTCCTCCCGCCCTGGCTCTCAGCAGGCCCTGGAGTCAGAGCCTGATTTCCTTGTCTGTGAAGGGGAGAGGAACCAGGAAGTGTGATGGACCGTGAGAAAGTGCAGGTAAGTAACAACAAATTCTCTAGGAACTTCTGGTGGGGTGGAGACCAGCCCTTTCTCACTCATGTGACTCCTTCTGCTCAGCCTAGGGCCTGGCACGGGGCAGGTGCTCTGCGAGTGCTGAGGAATCGCTGCCTGGCACTGTGTCCTACGTGGTCAGGAAGTGCTGCCATGTTGCCCTCTCTGTCCCCAGATCCCACCTGGGCCCAACGGCCAGGGGAGGCTGGGAGAGGAGCCCGAGGAGGGACTGCTGTCCTCCGGGGCTGCTCTGCTGTGACAGCCCCAGGACCTGCTCTTGCCCCACACCAGTCATTGCTGCCTCCCTGCTTCCTCTCCTCCAAGTGCCGGAGTGCCTGAGAGGCTGAGACCAGCTCCTCCATCTCACTAAGGGGAGACTGAGGTCAGAGATGGCACCACAGGTCTGAGTCCTGTAGAGACCCATGGTGTGTGGCTGCTACTCACAGTAGAGGATCTCGTAGTCTCCGGAATTGGACACGAGGAACTGCGAGTCCACGGACCAGTCCAGGTGGCTGATGAAGCTGGAGTGGCCCTGTGGGGACAGAGCTGCCTGAGTTTCCGTGCTGACACGGGCGACACACAGATGCGTCCGCACAGGTGTCGTGAGAGACTCACCGAACACTTGCCCACCCTGGTGTATCTCCTCCCGTTGTCGCCGACTCCATATATGTAGATGCAGTTGTCGTGAGAGCCGATGGCTAAGAAATTCCCATCTGTGGAAACAGGACAAATTACATTCCCAGTGTTAAAGGGAAACATTGTATTCATTCCAGCGGACATGCTAGCTGCCACCACAGATCTAGACAAAACTGCCACACTGATGAGTTATCTCAAAGGGAAAATGTGCTTTCAACTGAGTCCTATACCAATTCTGAAAAACACACACCTGATAGGATTATAAAATCTGGTAACAATTTACAGACTCCTTCTGTAAACTTTAAAAATACAACTCCATCCCATCTGCTAGAACTGTTCCCTGTACTCCCATCCACAGCGCTGCAGGGTGGAGGCTCAATTCCTCACTGGGCCGGCTTCCCAGCCTCTTCCCAAGGGCCACCTCTGGAAGTCTCCTCTCCCGGGTCTGGGCACAGCAGAGACAAGCAAGGAAGGAGCTTTCTATGACAGGAGCCAAGCCAGCTGTGTAGCTGGCAAACGTAGGGCCATGTGGGCACAAGGGAAAATGCAGGCTCCCAGGAAGGGCCAGACTGGAGATGTCTGAAAAACGCCAGCCCTTCCTGAGCAGGGACAGAGGGAAGCAGTTCCTTAGGAAGCACCATGGGGTGTGGGGTGGAGCCACGCAGAGGCCTGAAGGGAAAAGGGCAGCAGGGAGGCTCCACAGAGCGGACCAGGGAGGGACACAACACTAGACATCAGTCCCCGTCCTGGTCCACAAATCTCTGCAGCTGGCAAGGGAATTTTAATGCAAGCATTTGTAAAGTACCTCCAGGTCGCTGGCACTACCTACACTTCTGTGACGTCCCCTCCCCCAGATCCTTCCTGCTTCTCCTTCTGCAGAAGAAATCCCACCCGAGACAGCCAGGCCTGGGCCATCAGGAAATGGGGTTTCGGAAATTGCTCAACTTGAAGTCCTTTGACTGAAAGATTCTTTTGTTATGATGTGCAAACCAATATAGATCCAGTAGAAACTAGACTTGGAATTCTGAATTTTGACCTTTTCCCAGGCTAACGTGATGTGGTTTGTCCTCTCTCAGGTTCCCAGCCAGTCCCTGGACATGTGGGGAACAACCAGCCTTCTCCAGTGTGCCTCATCGCTAAGGGAATGCGCAGTACACTGGGTGTACCCGACACAGCTTCCACTTAGCCATATTTTCAATACCATGGGTTTATTAGGACGTGACCCCAACTAAGTCAAGATCTGGATATAACACTGAATGTCTGCCTAATAAATACAAACCAACAAGGGCAGTCAATACACTAACTGCTCCTGCTATGCAGGGCACTGTCTCTTCCCATCATGGACCCCTGGCCTGCCGACCCTCGGACCCTCATTTCTCAGCACCCCGAGGCCATGACAGCCCTGGACCAACACCTGGAAACAAGCGGATGTTCGCCTGGGAAGCAGCCATCCAGGTGCTTGCAGGAGTTGGTACTCAGGAGGTGTTTTCTGCTGACTGCCGCCCTCCCTAGGCTTGGGGCTGGGACTTTCCCACAGATCTTGTCACCACAGGGCGCTGCAGAGGAGGGAACAGGCTCAGGAACAGGAACAGGCTGCCTAGCGACACTGCCAGGTGAGCGGTACAGCAGGAAGGACATGAGCTGCCTGCCACCACCAGGGCTGAGAGCAACAGGCGGGCTGTGGGTGGCGGACAGGTGTCCAGGCTGCCTGACAGGTGGACAGTGTCCCTCGTGCTGTCACAGTGGCACTGGGATTTGGAGATGATGCTGGTGCATCTGTCTGGGGTATAGGGGACACCATGTGGCAGGGGACAGGCTGGGTGCCAGGTACCGGATCCTAGCAGGTCTCAGACCCAGGCAGAAGACGGGGGTTCAATGTTGGGAATAACACAAGGATGAGTATGAGATTCTGATTCATTTCTGTAAAAGCAGAAAACCCACACACACCTCAACCCTGAGGGTGAGATGACAACATAGACACAGCTGCGTGACCGACGGCACCTGGCCCGTCCTCCCCCACGTTCAGTGTGGCAGCAGAATGAGCAGGCTAAGCATGTGCAGTGGGCTTAATGCACCTAAGTATGTTCTTCCTGCTTCTGTTCTCTTTAAGAAATACCGAAATTTTAATCCAATCAAGGCTCCATTTTTTCCAGTCTATAAGGTTCCTGATATGGCTGTCAAGTATGAGAACTGTCACGACTACACTGCTGACATTTTGCCAACTGTCATAGTTGACTCTGGTTTCAAAAATAACATTAGCTTATTAGCATAAGACCGTCTTATGGAAAATACTTCGTAAGTGAAAAAGAGTTGATAAAGCGTGACTGAAATGGGTAGTAGATGGTGGCTCCTCTTTCCGCTGCATCTCACAGCAGCTGGGTGTCTGGCACCGGCCTGGGGCTCTTACTTTTGCCCCTTGTTGCCAGCTCTCTGGTCTCCAGGCTGTCACTAGTGTCACTGAGAAGAAAGGGAAACACATTCCCCAAGGCCAAGATGAACAGGAGCTGACAGGCTTCAGAGGGGGCCCCTCTCGAACTTTGGGGAGGTCCAAAGGAACTAAGGCAAGGAGGGGACGCACCTAAGAGCCAGGGGTGTTGGCGAGAATCAACGGAAAGGGCTAAGACACAGCAGAAACCACAGTGAAAGGCATTCTGGGAAGGTCAGCTGCTCCTACCACAGAGCGAGGGCTCCCAGTGGCTGCGGACTTGCCTGTCGGGGTGAGAAGGTATGAGGTTGCTCAGGGCCCAGGAAACAACCAATCTCAGAAACATTCCGGACATGATAATCAAACATTATGAGCGAGGTATGCCAACAAAACAGACAACTAAAATGAAACAGATCCATATTACCAAACCCAGTCAAGAAGAAATAGCAAATCTGGATAGATTTATAACAAGTAAAGACACTGCATTAGCAATTTAAAAATTTCCCCAAAAGAAAGCCCCAGATGGTTCCACTGAGTTCACATGAATTCTATCAAATATTTAACAAAAACACTAATTCCATTCCTGAGGAGGAAGGAACATGTCCCCAACATACCTGTGAGACAAGCAAGTGCTGTCACAACTAAGACAAAGACACGCAAGCAGACTCCAGATTACTGCCCCTCATGAGCACGGTTGCAACAGTAACCAGAGAATACTAAGGAATGGAAGCCAGCAACACACAAAAGGGCGACACAGCAAGATCAAGCAAGATTTACCACAGGAAGGTAAAGTTGGCTTAAGATTGGAAAATTAGTATAATAATACTTTTTTAAAAAGGACAAAAAACATGATCATCATTACAGATGCAGAAAAAGCATCTGACAAACCCCTGCACTCACTGCACTAAGCATGCTACACAAGTTATGAAGAGGAGGCAACTTTCTCATCATGATAAAGGACACCCTAACCCTAAGGACGAAAGACACAAAGCTTTTTCTGCAAAGACTGGGAGCGAGGTGAGAGATCCATTCTTGCTATTTCTATTTCTCATTTTACTGGAGGTACCAGCTGATGTAATAAGAAAAAAATAACTAAAGGCCTCCAGATTAGAAAGGAGGAAGTAAAGCTTTTTATTTTTAGATGACATGACCCTACATGAAGAAAACCTCAAGGATTACACATATACACCCCTCTAAAACTAGTAAGAGTGAAGAAAGGTGATATAAGATCCATATGCAAAGTTCAATTTTACTTGTATTTAATAGCAACCAGCTATTTGAAAATAAAATTCAGAAAGAATTCCATTCACAACACCAAAGAATGACTCAGCAATAAATTTTAAAAAGGAAGTACGAGATTTGTGTTTCAAAAATTATAAAATAAGCTGGAGTAGTAGCACACACCTGTAGTTCCCAGCACTCTGGGAAGCTGAGGCAGAAGGATTGTAAGTCCAAGCTTAGCCTGGCCTACTTAGTGAGACCCTGTTTCAATCAATCAATCAGTCAGTCAGTCAAGGGGTGAGGAAGTAACTCAGTGCAAAGGCCCTGGGTTCAATCCCTAGTACTGCAAAAAACAAGAAAACAAACAAACAATAAATAACTATAAAATGATCATGAGAAAAAATTTTTAAAAATCTAAATAAATGGAGCATCACTACATGCTCATGGATTAGAAGACTCAATGTCAGTAATCAAGGTGACGATTCTCCCCATATTGATTTGTAAATTCAACACAACCCCTATTTAAGAGCCTAGTAGGCTTTTTAAAATTAGAAATTAACAAGCTGATTCTAAACATACAAAATTTTGGGCTGGGGATTTAGCTCAGTGGTTCTGCCGCCTGCCTCGAAAGCACAAGGACCCAAGTTCAATCCCCGATACCAAAAAAAAGTTCTGTAAAAAAAAAAAAAAAAAGTTCTTGAGCAAAGTCTAAACATATAAAATTTTATATATGTTAAGGACCTAAAATACCCAAAAGAATTTTGGAAAATAAAACAATAAAGTTGGAAGTTAATTTCAAAACTTACTCCAAAATGTACTAGCACAGGATAAACACAGGAATGGGGACAGGACTGAGTATCTGAAAACAAACCATGTTTATAGTTGATCGGTTTTTGACAAAAATGTTGACAGTTCAATAGGCACTGGACAATGTTTTCAAGAAAAGGTGTGGGGACAACTGGACATCTACTTTCAGAACAAATACACTTTGACTCTCCCTGCTCTGTGTGCGTAAGAGTTAACTCAATGGGCCGGAAATGTAGCTCAGTGGCACAGTGCCTGCCTGGCAAGCACTAGGCCCTGAGTTTGATTCGCAGTACCAAAAAGAAAAAGAAAGTTAACTCAAGATGAGTCACAGACCTAAATGCAAGGCTAAGCCAACTCTCCTAGAACAAAGCATGGGAAAAAATTAAGCATCTTGGGTCTGATCCGTAAATGAAAAAAATCGATTAACTGGACTTCATCAAAACGAAAATAAAATTTTAATTTAATAATTAAAAACCTTTGTGCCTCAAAAATACTTCCATTAAGTAAATAAAAGACGCCAGGAGTGGTGGTATACTCTTCTAATTCCAGCACTCTGCAGGCTGAGGCAGGAAGATTGCAGATTTTAGCTCAGCCTGGGCAACTTAGATCAGGTCTCAAAATAAAAAATATAAAAGGGCTCAGTACAAGGCAAATACTGGGAAAAATATGGGTAAACCATGTATTGGACAAAGAACTTAAATACAGAAACAAGAGCTCTTGCAAATCAGTAATAGACAAATGAGCAAAATATTTGAATAGCTATTTCACCAAGGAAGATCTAGGAATGATTAACAACGACATTAAAAATGCTCAACATCAGTAGTCATTAGGGAAACGTCAATGAAAATGAGATATATTACACTTCTCTTAGAACAGCTAAAAAAAAAACAGTGACAGGTGTTGGTAAGGATGTGGAACCCTCACACATTGCTGGTAGAAATGTAAAACAGTGTGACCACTGTGAAAACCAGTTTGGCAGTTCCACCAAACTAAATATAAATATGTTTACCATATAACCCACCAAACCCACTCCTAAACATTTACCCAGAGAAATGAAAACACTTCTGCAAAAGGCAAATATACATGAATATTCATAATAATAAAAAGCTAGAGGGCTGGGGATTTAGCTCAGTGGTACTGTGCCTGCCTTGAAAGTGCAAGGTCCTGAGTTTGATCCCTGGTACCCCACACCCCCTGCGCCAAAGCTAGGAACAATCTAAATGACCATTAACTGATGAATAGATAAACAAAATGTGGTATATCCATAAAATGGAATACTATGCAGCAACTGAAAAGGGATTAGCTACAACTATACATAAAGTAACACAGATTAACCTCAAAAACATTATTATAAATGAAAGAGGCCAGCTCCAACAGGCTACAGTGGTAATTCAGTTCACAAACTTAATTCTTTCCATGACTCTGGTCACACACCAAAACAGTTAAGAACTGAATCAAATGTCCCTATAAGCTCAACATTGAACCTAACCACTGAATTGATTCAGTTCTTATCTAATTCGGTTTGTGATCAGAATTGTGGAAAGAATCAGTTTGTGAACTGAGGTGCTGCTATATATACTGTATGATTCCGTTGAATTTTATGTCCAGAAAGGGGAATTTGTAGGGGCAGAAAGCAGATCAGTGATTCTCTAGGACTGGAACAGTAGGTGGAGATGAATACTGAACAGGCAAGGAAGGAACATGGAGGAGGATGGAGAGGTTCTAAGACGGGGTTGTGGCGATGCCCATACAGCTCTTCGAAGTTACTAGAATCACGAGGTGTACATTCGCAGGGGGCCATCTGTGTCATGTAAATGTCACCTTCAGTAAAGCTGTTACAAACACTCACCCTTTTGAGATATATACAACATTAAGGAGACGACAACATTAAGGAGATTCAAGATGACCTGAGAGGAGGGCGTGTGTGTGTGTGTGTGTAAGAGAGAGAGAGAGAGAAAGAGCGAGCTCTAAGAGGTTGTGGAGGTGAGAGACCAGCCCAGCATCCATCACTTCTGAAGCAGGCGATGGGTGGGTGGGGCTCCAACTACACTAATGTAGTCTTTGAAATTGTAGAGTGCGAAGTTCCGAACCCACGCACGTGACCGAGGAGGGGGAGGAGCCCTGAGGCCCCGGCTCGCTCTGTGTAATGGCAACCGCAAGCGCACTGAGGAAAGCTGAAGACCGCCAACCCTGCGGGCGCCTGGGGGCAGCGTCCTCTAACCTGGAGAGTAGCGCATGACCGACAGCTGCTCGTTCCCGTCCGTGTGCACGGTGACCAAGTCTTTCGTTTCCGTGTCAAACACAAACCACCTGTTGGAAACACGAGAAAGAGTGCAGTGAGCTGCTGAGTGGGAAACAGAACACGCCCCCCGCGACCTCGACAGCGAGCGAGCGAGCGGCCTGTCCTGGGCCAGCCGGGGCGCTGCGGTGCTCAGCAGGAAGCTTGTTCCGGGCGTGTCCAGAGCGAGCCTCCTGCGTACAAACACCTCCTGCAGAAGAGAACGGCCTCCTGCCTGTCGCTTGGCAGTGGCTGCTCAGCGAGTGTTTCGTTATCTGCACGAGGAGGGAGAGAAAGTCCGGGGCACGAGGCTGCCGACCGAGACCGCTGCTGGGCTGTCCGGGCCAGCGTGCTGTGGACAGATCAACACGACTGAGGGGCTGGGGCCCGGCAGTGATGCTCCTGGCTGCACAGAGGCTGCAGCTTCCGGGAAAGCCGGGGAGCAACCAACAGGGTGCATGGAGGGACAGGGAGCCCGGCGGGAAGGGGACGGATGGGAGCCCAGCATTCGACCATCACCCTGCAACAAGGGGGTTAGCGTCCACTCAGGACGGAGGTGGACACGTCGCGTCCTCGGGGAGGCCACAGCACTCTCTCCGGGTGTGTTTAGTGCCCGAGTGACGGGACTCTGTGTGTCGTTAGGACAGAATGCACACAGCCCACTGCTGCCATTTCAGCACCACCCGGCCACTGCACAGGGTCCTCCTGCCTGCTCGCCTCCCCTTCCGGCTCCACCTTCCTGGGTTGGGATGTTGCTTCCCGCCTCTGACTGCTTGCATCCTGATGCCTATTCACCCTTCACGTGCAGTCTGAGGGAAACTGAGGCCCAGGCACAATAAACAGATGGGGCTGACTGGAATCTGCCCGTGCCAAGTCTAGGGAAAGGGCCAGCACTGGGCACACCCGGCCTGCAACCCGATTCGGAGGCCCTGACAGAGGGGGGACTAGGTTACGAGTTCGGCCTCGGGATCCCTCAGGATGCGATCTGGGGTCCTGAGTGCTGTCACCATCAACTCCACACACTGGTAGCAGGTAGATGGCGGTGGTGTCTGGTCCTGGCTGGCGTCCGGTCCTCAGAGGGTGCGGCCTACTGAGTTCGAACCTTGTGCTGTCTCCGGGAGAGCTGAATGGCAGGCAGGGAGTGTGTGTGTATGTGTGTGTGTGTGCGTGTGTGTGTGCAGGTGTGGGTGTGTCACCATGCAACACCTTCTCAGAGAATTCTGTTCATACGTGGAATCTGCCTCTTAGGCACTGTACCCACCACTCAGGAGCAGTTACTCTTTATAAAACTGTAGTTGCAGCTACAGCCTCCGAGTGGTACACTTTTTAAAGAGAAAGGATGGGAGGAGCTAGCAGAAACTCTCTGAATGCAACCACAGTAAGTGCATGTAAGTGGTTCCTTTATCTGTGGTTTGAGCTCCCCATGGCCAACCCTGGTGTGTGGAGAGTCCCCACAGAAGGAGCTCCCACCTGTAAAGGTGTGCACCGTTCCACGTGCACCTTGGTCCCTGAGTCTCACTGGCAGGCAGGATGTCACCTCATCTCATCATAGGACAGGGAAGCGAGCCCAGGACAGGTGAGTTTCCAGAGAGAGACCACAGCACACACTTCCATCATAGTTTACTGTGAGGACTGCTCTATTTTATTATTAGCTGTGGCTGACAATCTCACTATGCCTGATTTATAAGCCAGGCTTTATCCAGGTGTACGAGAAAACGGTATAAATGGGGTCCATGCTGTCCACAGGGGTCTCAGAATGAATCCCCAAGGGTGCAGGGGCCTGCTCTTCCGTGACAAGCAGCAGGAGGGCAGAATCAAGCCTTGACACTCACAACATGACCATGATTCACAGAAAAGGAGATGAATCGCTCAGAGACACCACTGCCCAGTAGCAAAGCTGGGGCTCCAACAGGATTTATGGCCTGGTGCATGGTGGTGATTGGTAAATATGTACTGACTGAATCTGAATGCGGGGCCGGGTCCTACTCAAAGGGCTGCTAGAACAGACGGCTTTGGCCTCAGTATTTTGAAGCCAGGCTTCTCCCACACAGCAGCCCCTGTAGGGGTTCTTGGGGCCTCTGAAGTTGGGGACAGATGGGAGAGAGGTGGGCAGTGGGGGCATTTGGGGAGGGGGCACTTTTACAGGCGAAAGCATCTATGGCCTTCCAACGATTTCCCTCAGGTTCAAACAGGGAAGGACCTTGGTCTAAGGTTTGCTGTTGAGTTCTGACCTATTTCTTGGCATGCCATGGCGGGTGGGAAGATGGGCCCCCAGCCAGCCTGCCCCGTCCCCAGGAAACACACAGCGAGCTCCTGTCCACAGCTCTGAGAGCTCGGGCCTTGCTGGGCCGCTTACCTCCCAGTGAGTGTTCCAACTGCAACCACAGACCCTGAAGGATGAAAACCAGAAGACTGAGCTGGATCCTAAAACATTGTAAAGGAAGTGTAAATGGATGGCCAGGCACAGCACTACTGCACACAACCCACCCGCACAGTTCCGGGCCCTGGGCTCCACAGCTCAATCGAAAGCCTCTCTTCTCTCCAGAGAGGAGGGTGCTTTCCGTGTGGATACGTGTCACATTCCATGCACACTAAATCAGTATCTTTTGGGGGTTTCCTCTTCCTGTCTTACGTCCTCTCATATCTATAGCAGTAGGGTGAAAGACACACAGATCCGTGCTCTTCACCCAAGCTGTGGTCTGTGCCCAGCTCCCGGCCGGCCCTGTGCTTGATGTGGAGCCCGTGGAAGAGTGTGCTTGGCCCATTTGCAAAATGATCGCTGGCCACTGAGAGAAGGACGGGACAGAGGGGCACAAGGCTGCTGCCAGAGAAGCCGAACACACAGGCATCTGGGACACCAGCTCGATGCTCTGCCCTGAGTGGGAGCAGTGGCCACACCCAGGGCTGCGCCAGGTCTCCACGTGGCCATTCTCTAGCTCCTCTGTGTACCCAGCTCAGCTGTGCACCTGGCTCCTCTGTGTACCCGACTCACCTCCCGACACTGAGGACCAAGAGCCGAAGGGACCCGTCCAAAGCTCCGGGGTCAAGGGGAGAGGGCTTGAATGGATGCCAGGGCCTAGCACCTAGCAAAAGCCAGGACTATGGGGGCTGAGGGGCCGATGGGCGGCTCTCAGAGGGACATTCGGTGTCAGTGAGGGCACAGCAGCACAGGCCGTGACCTGGATGCACCGTGAGGCCACAGACAGCCTCGGCTTGGAGTCCGACGGAGCTGGGCATAGCCAGCATCTGCCACCCACGGCCTCAGAGGTCATGGTTCGTTATTAACCCACCTGAGCCTCAACTTCCTCACAGTAAAATCAGAGCAAAAGGCAGCCTGCGATAGTACACAGGCTTTTCATCCTAACAGTACTTTCAGTACTCCGGTCAGCCACAGGGCTACCCTTGAGAACCCCGACAACCAACTTGTGGTTGAAAACTTCCACAGTAAACCTCAGGGTCCCAGGGCCGAGACCGCTCATGGCAGCGACCAAAGCTGTGTGATTCTAAGAGGACACCAGGTGTTGCTTGCTCGGAGGCAACTTCCTGTCACTATTAAGGTCATGCGAAACATAAACAAGGATGTTCCGGATGAGTTTCTACAAGAGAACTGGAAATGCGCGTGTTTACCTCTATGATTCTGTCCCAAACAGGCCGGTGCCCCACGGCGTCCCAGAGGGTGGCATGCTTGTCGTGCCCGCAGGTCAGGAACTGAGGCTTGGTGGCGTGGACAGCCAGCCCCCAGAGCTCATCGGTGTGACCCTAAGGAGACACAGGGTTCCCTGAGACCTCACAGGGGCCTCTCTCCTCCTCGGCCTAACCCGAGGCAGAGTGGAAGCTTCCGCCAGCGCTGCCCAGCCCAGCATACCTGGGTGATGGGTGCGAAGTCCCCGGACAGGGTGCCCTGCAGGACAAAGTTTCTCGTTGTGCCTATCAAGATGACATCACCCTTCCCTTCGGCCACTGTCCGGATGGGGCCGAACTGTTCGGGAATCTGCGTTGGAAGGGGCCACGGAAAAGAAGGGCTTAAGATTTCATTAAATTGTTAGCTCAAGCATTCAAAGTAGTTGTTTATATGTCATACGATAGCCCCTGTGACAGACACATGCACATACACACACGGAGAGAGAGCTGGGCTTGGTGGCACCAAGCTTTTATTTTGGGACAGGGTTTTACTAAAGTGTCCGGATAACTTGCTTCTGGGGAGGCTGTGGCAGGAGGGTGGTAAGTTCTAGCCAGCCTGTGCAACTTAGGGAAATCCTGTCTCAAAGTAAAATGGGCTAGGGATATGGCTCAGTGGTAAAGTGCTTGCTTAGCATGTGATGCTCTGGGTTCAATTCTCAGTAAAACACACACACTCTCTCACACACACACACACACTCATGCACGCACAGGCGGAAACAGAAATATAACTAGAAAGATACAAGAGCTGGCTGTTAGGGAGTGATCTAAACCCCCCTTCAGCGCTGGAAACTGAGCCCAGGATCCTGCACACACTAGGCAAAGACTCTACTTTTACTTTTTTGTTGTTGTTTTTGGGGGGGGTTGTTTGTACCAGGGATTGAACTCAGGACCTTGCGCTTGCGAGGCAGGTGTGGTGCCACTGAGCTAAATCCCCAGCCCTTCTACTTTACTTTTTAAGCCACCAACATTTTACATATCTTAAAAGAATCAGCACCAGTGATGTTGTTTTTATAAAATGCACTTTTTTTTCTGACAAATGAAAATTTGAGGCATACAACTGGCTCCTACTGGAAGGCAGGGCTGCTCACGAGCTAATGGGAGTAAAGCAGTTCTCAAGAGGAGGTGGAGCGCTAGAAACGCTGGCCCTCAGCTGAGAGCCATGCAAAAAGTACAAATTTAAGAAAAATTAGCTCAAAGTGAGAACGTGTACAAAGTGACACACTGGACGCTAGTGAGAAGAGAGGAAATCTAAATGATAAATTAAAATGTGAGTAATAGTCCCCTGGAAATGATTAAAATTTCCCCAAGAAACCAATTAAGATTGGTTCTATTATAATACATTTTAAGTGTGAAGTGTTTTGCATGCTCAGACTTTACAGGCAACTCTGTCTCAGTTGAAAACTGCCTCTATCATTTTAATAAAATATGATACTTTCATCTTACCAGTTTTCAGACCCCTAAGCCAAAGATTCCAAACTAACATGGGAACTGGCCAGGATCAAAGCTTAATAAGGTTCAAAAGGAATTTCTGTAGTTGTGCTCGCTAACTTACCTCAGTTTTATGAAGTTTTTGATAGTTCCCGTTCCAAGAAATGAGCTTCCGGTCCTTCCCTCCTCCTGACACCAGCGTGCCATCCCTTAACATACAAAGTGCAAAAATGCCACCCTCGTGGGCCCCTTGAACCGCATAGCTTATTCGGTTCGTACCTAAACACACCAGGAAAACAATCATTAGTGTGTGATCTGAAGGCTTGCCTCTACCCATTTCAAATCTCTCTCATTCTCTTTCTTGCTCTCTCATTTTTTTTTAACCTAGGCCTTGGTTGAACCCAGGGCCTTGAGTGCTGTACCACTGAGCTATATCCCCAGGCCTCTTTAAAAATTGTTTTTATTTTGAGACAGGGTCTTCCTGAATTGCCTGAGTTGGCCTTGAGCTTGGAATCTTCCTGCCTCAGCCTCCCAAGCAACTGGGATTATGGGCGTACACCACCACGTCTGGCTTGTATTTCAGTTTTGCTTTAAAAGGTGAGATGATCAGTTAAAAGATCATTGTAACCTGGTGCTGTGAAGGACCCAATTTCTGGAAGCTCCTGGAGTACCACACAATCGGGAACTGGATTACTCCATGCCTGAGGAGACTGTGCCAACCCAAGCATCATGTGGCCGGAGCACCTGTCTGAGAACTCAGGCCTGGTGCCCAGAGGGACAACCTAGTATTCTCAGATCCATCGCGTAGGATGTGCCTACTGCGTGTCCCCAGGACTGACTCAAGGCCTAAGTGACCCACGAGTGGCCAGGATGCTGTAAAAGTCATCTTAGCATTGTGACATCACATGAGTCCGTCGTCCTCCACCTGCTCATGCCCACATCGGAGGCGTCTGAGGACAGGGGACCATGTGCTGCCCCAACCTCTGGCCTACAGTGCCTGCCTGCCAGCCTGCACCCAGCAGGTTTCCCACGTCATTTGTATGAGTCTAGCACATGTACTTAGTGCAGTAAATATCCGCCAAGTGCTCTGTGAATTGGAAGTTACTTTAATATTTAATTACTCATCATAATAATTTGTTAGTAGAGCTTGTAATAAAGTTATTAACTCCATCATAATACCTTGGCATTAAAGAGCCTTTTAGAACAATATATGAGGTGTGATTAAAAAAATATAGTGACATTTAAATTTTAAAAATTTATGACAGTAAAAGACATATTGCCATTAATTCCCCTCAAAATCCTCCCCCTCGCTCCGAACACACTTTTTCCATTGTTCTCGCCATATCTGGAGCAGGTCTGGAAGTTCTCTTTCATGAGTGTCTTCTGTTGGGCTGTCATAGCTACCTTGATGTCCTCATCAATTGAAAACATTGACCTTTTGTGGCCACTTTGACTTTGGGGAAGAGCCGGAAGTTGCACGGTGCCAGATCCAGTGAATAAGGTGGCTGAGGACACAGTGTCATGTTTTGACTTTCTGCTGGATGGCGCTCGGCAGCAGCCTTCCCCGTACTATTGATCACACCTCATAAAGACACTCATGAAAGAGAGTCCCAGAACTGACAGTCAACAATTTACTATTCACCAGTTTTCATCCATTCTAGTTTTATGGTTTCAAGTTACACATACACCTTGGGATCTAACAGCAATCTTGTAAATTATATTAAAAGATAATTCTTTAGAAGTTGCCTTTCACATAACACTACCAAAAGAACTGGTCTAGGGAGTAGTCACTGGTTACCTTTTCCCCATACTAAGATGTTGCCACTCGAATCTCCAGTAATGGTGTCACCGTTTTCAGAAAATGTCACGCAGAGGACAAACTTTGGCTTTTCTTGTTTCTGCAGAATGCAGTGAATACAGACACATTTAATCAAAACGTCCTCTATTTGTACTAAGAGCAGGCAGGGTCTCAAGCACAGCTGGATCATGTCAGCTACTGCCCTTCACTTTTATCTACTGTTAGTAACTTACACCGTGAGGTTAACTTCACCAAGAGAAAGAAATTTCTAGCAACGCCAAGTGGCTGAGGAATCCCAACGTTGCAGACAGTTCAACTAGAAGGGGGTGTGGAAGTGGACTTTGCGGGGGTGGGCTATACTGTTGTGACTGGAGAGTAAGAACAGAGCCCCACACCAGAATAAAGGGGCTTCTAAATGAGCTCACAGGAAAGGCTGGCTAGCCAGAGGGACAAAGTGTCTGCCACCCTTTGCAGACAGGGTGCCCGTTCCCTCGTTGTCTGATGCCCCGTAGGCAGGCTCTGCCCTCCCAGGCCAGCACCTTCCAGCCAGGCTCCCCAACTGTATGAGGGACCCAGGGGGTGACTTTTATTTCCATACCCCCCAGATGCACCCTCACAATTGTCACTGAAACAACTGCTAAGGCTGGGGGACTTCAGTGCTCCCATAAAGTCTAGAAGGCTACTGTATCCCTCCGGGGAGGAGAAAAGAACAATGGACCTTAGCTTTACCTCGAACAATCCTTGCTTCTTAATCAGGGAGTTTCCTTCTAGTGTCCAAAAGTAGAGATGAGATTTTCCGCAAGTAACTATGATACTGGTGTCCGTGGGGTGGAAATCCGCAGCGAATACCGCTTCATTAGAACACTTTAAGAAAACAGGAGAAGGAAATGCCTCAAATCTCTTAGGACACTTAGGAAGGTAAATAAAATTGGAATCACAAATCAATATTTCATTCATCCAGACACCAGGCCTCTTGACATTTGCCCCACGGAATTAATCTTTCGTGAAGTTGTGCTGGTCGAGGCTCTCGACTCCTCCCTGGCCTGTCTGCCCTGTGGGCTGGGAGCCCCTGGACAGGGAGCCAGAGTAGGCCGGCTGTACACTCTCTAGGAACCCCGAGGGGCCCTTGAGACTGTGGAAGCCCAGGCTTCTCGCTTGCCTTCTGGTGCTGGGCTCCCTGCCTGGCATCCACGGAATCACCTGAGGGCGCTTGAATGTAGACCCTGGCCTCATCCCCACAGAGGGACTGGACCCTGGGGAAGCGCCCGGCACTGCAGCCCCACTGCCCTATTGCTCCAGCAGACTGGCTGCGGTCCCCCACAGTCCTTCCTGTGACTCGATGACTTCCTGTGACTCTGTCTGTGGCTCGTCCAGAATCCCGTGTGCCGGATCTGGCTTTCAGCCCACATCCTGACCTCCAGGACCTGCACCCTGCTCTGCTCAGTGTGGCCCTGAGTGCTCCTTCTCCTATAATTCAGCTCTGCCTTTGAACCTGGGCAATGACTTGTCTTTGATTACTCCTAACCTTGCAACATAGCGAGAACACCTTACATCCCTGCCCAGAACATGAGAAGGCACAGCCACCATGTGGGAGGAAATATAGGGTCAGCTTCCACCACACATGAGACAGAAAGCTGCCCGCACAGGTTATCTGATGGAGATCCTGAACGGCAGACAAGTAATGTCGCCTGATGGTAGTTCTCACATCAGACAAGCAAGGTTATCTGGTGGCACTTCCAATGTTAGACAAGTAGTGTTATCTAAGGTTAGCAGACGCCAAGGTGAAGCTGATTCTACAGAAATAGGACTCCAGTGATGATGTCAATGGGAGAAAACATAAGAAAGCTGGAGGAACAGGTTTTGCATATGACAGGTTTTGCAGAAGGGAGCCAAGGCGGTAAGGGGCTGAGAGGATGGCGGCCAGAGGAGCCGCATGTGACCTAGGGTTTGGCTGCCTCACGGCCTTTGAGGCCCTTGCAGGGGGCAGTGCCCCATGGACCTCGGGGTGCGGGTGCCCACCTGCAGGGTGCCCTCCACTGCACTGTGCCAGGCACTGGGGATTTGAATGATGAAGGGAAAGGTGAACAAATAAACGACTGAGTGCATTAAAAGGGTAATGGGTGAGGAAGAAAAGAATCGTATTGTGAAGGCAGGACTCAGGAACAGAGTCCACGGGGGCAGGGCAGTGCAGGAAGAGCCTCAGGTGAAGGGGTCACACTCGGGACAGGTGGCCCTGGAGGTCCTGGGAGGGGCCCCGTGGGGGAAGTGACAGCACAGCACATCGGAAGCTGGAGCAAGACCTTCACATCAGCCAGCCGCTCCTCCTTCTGCCAGTCCCACACAGACAGCAAGTGGTCATTGGAGTCGTCCACAGCACACAGGTAGCTTCCTCCATTCTGAAAGAGAAAGGCGTGCACAGCAAGACTGCATTTGAGAATTAACATGAGTGCTCACCTTATTTTCAGCAGTCTGCATAAAGACCATTCACCCACTGCTGGCTGGGCCAGACAGGGATGGCAGGGCAGTGTGGGTCACGAAGGGACAGGAGTGGGACACAAGGCTCTCCGTGCCAGCTTCCGGAAAACCAGGAGCTCAGTGTCCCTGCTCCCTGAGGACCATGCCCTCGGCAGGCCTGGCCAGGCTCTGTTGCCAGCTGTGGACCCCACGACTGCAGGTCACAGGGAGCAGAGCACCAGGACCTGAAAGAGCATGGCCACTGGGTGTGCACGTGTGCATGGGGTGTGAGTCACTTCTGAACTGGATGAAGAAGGGGTTTGGTGGAGTGCAAGCATGGACCTGGTGGAAACCTGGGAAACGGAGAGACCTAGCCAGCTCAGGAAGCCAGCCCAGGTCAGCACAGCAAGCACATGCGGTGTGGGTGGCTCTCAGGTCAGAGCAGGCAGATGCCATAAGCAACAAGAGGACAGACTTGGGGGTGTGGGGCTTTCTTCTTCACACACCCAGGAGGCTGGAGATGTGTGTCCCCAAAGAAGGGACCCAGTGGCATGACGGTTCCAGAGCGCAAGTCCCAACACGCACCCGGGCAGTAACCTCTCTCCAACCTGTGGCAGATTCCCTCCTGCCTGTGGCCCACGGCTCTGACACCCACAGGGCTTGAACTTACGGATTTTGAAAATGCAATACAGGTGACAGCCCGGTCGAAAAAGCCTTTCCCGATGACATGGAGTGTGTTCAGTGACACAGAATCCCAGATGCGCACGTGGGGGAGTAATTGCTGTTTTGAAAAGAAAAATGCAGTCATCAACTGTGAGGGTTTACAAACTCCTCTTTACCTTGAAGCTACGAGACTACTTGGGCAGTAACGACAATTGTGTCAAAACAACCAAAAGGACTTTTTCTGCCTCGGAGGAGCCTGTCTCTCCAAGTAAATGACATGTTCCCAGAGGCTTTGGGAGGCCCGATAGGAGGGGCTCACCAAGACCTAAACTTGGGCTAGGCTGTTCTGGGCATCCAGATGTGTTCTTGACTTCCAGATGTTAGGGATGAACAACGACAGGGAAAACGGTATCTCCTACGAGGTATTCTTTTTTAGTCTGATTTGGTGCCAAGGTGTCAACATGTCCAAGTTTATCCGAATGGGCAGCACCAAACAGTATTAGGAGCCTGACATTCCTCATTCCACAGGCGCGAAAGAGGCAACTTAATTATGCACAAATACAACTTAGGATTGTTATAATTCGTTCAAAATCTTTTCAACTGTGTCGTGGGTTAGTTTTATTAATTTTTCTCTTCCTTATAGAAGAAAGCACCTCATCAACAAGAAAAGTGGTAGCAGGGCATTGGATGAACTCGTTCTAGCTCAGCCCTGTCTCTGACTAGCTGGGGAGCTGTCACGGGGAGGAGCCAAGACCTTCACACTGAGATACGTCTCCGGCTCTCAGGGTTTCAGGGAGCTGCCCAGGTTGGGCTCGAATCGTGATCCTCTTGCTTCAGCCTCCCAGATGCTGGGATTAAAGGAATCTGAAGTACACTTTAAAGTTACAAGAGGCAGAACAAATGGTTCCATACTGATTTCCAAGATGTTTTCATGGCCATGTAACATTAAAAAGAAAAGGCGAACACTTGTTTCATCTAGGATAAGGTTAATATTTAAAATTTGATCTTACTAAAATATTTTCTCAAATACAGTGGCCGTCATGTTTTCTGAGAGAAAGTATGTTGATAAAAATGAACGTATTTTATGGGATTAGTGCAATCATAAGCTACACACAAGTAGATATCAAAAAGGCTACAAGGAGTTCTGAATGAAACATGCCCATCACAAGATTACGGTGCAAAAGTAATTGGAAGCCAATTTTGAATCGTTCTGTATTTTGTTTAATCCCACTAACTCCCTTTCTTGTTCCCTAAGATACAAATTAAAGTCACACTGAAGAGCTTATGCCGTCTGTGTGAAACCTCCCAGCTGCCTTTGTGACCCCCACACAGGTACAAGCTCCACGGCTGATGTCCCGGTCACAGCTGCTGATGGCCAAGGTGTCCCCACTCAAGGGACTATTCATTGGGATTTTAAATTTACCTCTTTTTTTGGTACCCGGGATCGAACTTGGGTCCTTACGCTTTTGCAGCAGGCAGAGAAACCACTGAGCTAAATCCCTGGCCCTAAATTTACTTCTTAAGTGAGTCCTGACACATTTTAATGCTTGGCATGTGTGGAAATAAGAATTTTAAGAATTAGTGAATTCTTAGGCAAGAACAACGCTATTTTAAAATTTCCTGAAAATAAGGCACACTCAAGTGTTTTTTTTTAAGGCCACTGTGATGTGAGACACTTAATCTGCAAATTAAAAAAACCCTAGCAAGGGGCTCGGGGAGGCATTTAGATGCGGTGACATGCCTAAGCAGGCTGGCTCTCGAGTGAATGCCTTCTGGAGATGGTTCTGTTCCCAGCTTGCTACACAGACGTGAAAGGCCCTGCACCCACCTTGCCATCCTTCGATGTGCCTGCAACTTGTCCGGTGGCTATGGTGATCCTGTCAGGATGAACCGCTAGGCTGAGAAAGGACATTGAGAAGATGCTTAAACTCCAGAGTTAGTTAGCTTTGCTTTCCCTTCCTCAAATCGAGTTGAGTTGATAACTTAAAAATGAGAAACTGTATGGCCTAACTTCCTGCAGGCTCATGACGAACTCTCCGAACACCCAACCACGTTAGATAACTCCTGCCTATTCTCTGCCTCTGAATTCCCTCATTTCTTATTGAGAAATTCCAAACTTAACCAAAATCTTCCTTTGCTAGGACAACTCCGCTTCCATCTCAGAACCTCTTAGCCCACGCACCCTTTATTAAGAAGTCATCCTGGGGGTGTTAAAGAGAAAGGCAGCGTGTCTCTTGCCAACAGGGACTTTATCACTGACGGGGACCCAGGACAAATATAGACCCACAAATCCAGGAGCTCATCCCTCTGGCCTTCCGAGGTCCTACACCAGCTCTGAGTGAACCCTGGAAGGGTAGACCCACCCCTAAGCTCCACACAGAGCATTTTAACTTCTGAGCAAAAAGTCCGGCCCAATGTAGTGCCCACTCAGGGTGTGTCGAGGAGGCGTCTGCACAGGGTCTGCCCAGCCGAAAGATGTGCTGTGGGGACAGAAGGCTGAACCCGGAGAGGCCGGCAGACAGCACGGGGGACACAGAAGAGCATGGCCAGAGCCTGACTTTCTGGGGCCTGCTGCCTCTCTGGTTCTTCCCGGGGAGCATGGGAGGGGACGCACCACTTCACGTCCTCGTTGTGGCCGACATAGTGCCTCTGCAGCTGCTCCTCCACGTTGAACAGCACCACCACCGACGCGATGAAGTACACCGTCTCGCCAGTGGGCAGCAGGTACAGGTTGTTCCGGCAGTCGCGGCCGCGGTACCCGTAGCTTTGCGTTCGTCAAGGTAAACACTGGCTTCCTTTCCAGCTGACAAAGCCTCAGCTGCATTCAGCAGGTGCAGGCAAGAGAACGCTATGTGGCCCTGACCCTCAGTTTGAGGTTGAAGTACTTCCACATACTCCGGCCTGAAACATCAGACCCGGAAGGCAGGCCATAAAGTTGGAAGTGGTCAATCAGGTAATGAGAATACATGTTTTTAACAATACAAAGATTTGGAGTATTCTTTAAAAAATCATTGAGTCAACTATGAGTCTATTTTTTTTTTTTTTGGTACCGGAGATCGAACTCAGGTGATTGCGCTTGCGCAGCAGGTGGCGAAACCACTGAGCTAAATCCCCGGCCCCTGAGTCTATTTTTTTTATTGTGATCCAAAGGTTAAATCTTTTACTGAAATAGAAAAAACTTTAAAATATCGATAGACATCCTCATAAGGGTACAAATGACACATCAATATGTATCAAAGGGAAAAAATTTAGGACCTGCTTGCCCCTGCTCTCTAGGGATTTTTCCTATTAAGGTGCTGGAACATATTCTTCCAATCCCGGAGAACTATTTGGAGAGAAAAGCATCACTTGAACTTGGGTGTAAAATATAACCCAGCCACACCCCCCACAAGGTTATTTTACATTTCCTGAAATGTGAATAGCAAGTTGGTTGAATAAATGTGTTTTGGAATAAATGTATTTTCAATGTGTTTTCCAGATTTCATTTAACTATTTAATAAGCTGTAATGAGGGACAGAAGAGCCGACTCCCTCAATTTCCTGTGCCCAAACAGCTACAGATAAATCAATGCCTGCAACCTCGAGACCTGAAAAAAGAAAGTATGTATTTGGGGGGAGAAAGGCAGGTGATAATTATTTAAAATTTCCAAAGTCTGTGATGGAAATGGACTTGCGGCTGCTACTATTTAAACTCGCATCCGGTAACTTGTGTTCACAACTTGGCATTGAAAGAGAATCAACAAAGGTCTGAAGGGAGAGAAAAGACTGTTTGCCTTGAAAGCTGCATAGACCGGAAGTAATACATGAGTAACTGAGTTAAATGGGAGAAATAATGACACTCAGTTCACCTCTCCCCAGGTTCTGTCTGTTTTCCCTGGAAGCTTACTTTTCCAAGCCTCCTCCCAATGCAGCCTCTATCAGTCACATTTCAAGAACTTCAGTTGTAGGGTAGATTCAGATTTGGGTGGTCTAGATTTTTGGGAAAATTTTTCCTTTTTTAAAAACAAAGTAGGATTATCTCTATGCTCTGCGTCACCTGGATTTATGCCATCAGTGTTGATCCTTAGTAGCACTAGAGCATTCGATTCTTCTATTCTCTCTTCAGCTACAGGGCACTGACTTTGACCTTGGGCTCCTGAGACCCACCAAGTTCCTACTTGGTTAGAAGGGAGAACACTAGTCCCTCCTTTCAGGGTGTCCCGATTTGTTTGGGTCCAGAAGCTTGCAGTCAGCACAGTTTGGTTTCAGTTTTTTGCTGTTGTTTTGAGACATGGTCTCATTACGCAGTTCAGGCTGGCCTTGGGCACCCTATGCAGCCCAGCGATCCTTCCGCCTCAGCCTCCCAAGTGCTGGGATTATAGGCGTGCATCACCACATCTGGCTTAGCTTCAATTTTTTAAATTCTCATTTTCTCATTCACAGGTTCAATATTTCCTTTCACTTTCACTGCTGTGTCCTTGTAAATACGTAAGCATTCCAGGCTTTTCCAGCCCTGGAACAAGGCTGACGAGATAACAGCACCTGCCACAAACAGCCAGCTCCTTCCTACCTTCCACTCCTAGACTGTAACCCATTTGTTATTATTTTCCCCAGGCTGGCTTCTCTGTGAGTTTTTAACCAATTTTATTCTTTAAAGATTAAAATTCAGGTCATAAACTAGTGATGTGTTTGCCCTGCCCCTCCCTAGCCCAAATTCACTCATACCAGCATACAACATTTTACTTTGATATGTTTTCCAGGGAAATGATGTACATGTACTTGCACCAGAACCACAGATACTTCAATCAGGAAGGATGAGCTGGTTCCTCTCATAATTGGCAGCTCCTCCTTTCCCAGGATGTGGGGCTGGGTTTTAACACATGGCCACTTTTGGAAAATAAATTTTTTAAAATGAGAGAGGAAAATGTTTTGATTTTTAAAAGCTTAAGAAGACTGAAAAAAGAAATTCTTTTTTAAAAAGTCAGGCGTGGTGGTGCACACCTATAATCCCAGAACTCAGGAGGCTGAGGAAGGAGAATTGCTGTTTGTTTGAGGCCAGTCTGGGCTACATAGAGAGTCCCTGTCTCAAAAAACAACAACAATAACAACAACAAAATTAGGAAGGAAGGAAGGAAGGAAGAAAAAGAAAGAAAGAGTTTAAAATCTTAAGGGACTTTATGAAATTTTACAATTAAACTTCAAGCATTCATCAACTAAGGCCTCAGTGTGAGGCCAGTCCTGAGGAAAGGATACACCCACTCCAGCTTCAGTCTCTTGGTTGGTAGTTCTACTTTTGCTTCCAAACTGTAAGAATCCACTTGCTCTTTGGGCATGTACATGGTAACAGGGCGTCCTCGAAGAAACATTTTTACATATCCTTCTTCTACAAAAAGAGCAAAAGATGTCAGCAAGACACCTCCATGCTCAGGCCACCAGAAAGCAAACGTCACTTCTCCCTAGCCAGGCAATGCAAAAGTGAAAGCTTTACCCTGTGACACTTCTACCCAGTGTCTCAGGGGAAAAACAAATCGCTAGCATGTAAAATTAAATGCCTTAGAACAAAAGCTTGGGTTGTGTTGGCTTTGGGCATTCTGCTTACTTAAATGCATGGGATACACGAGAAACTCTAAGAGGCAGAAGGAACCAGATGCTGTCAATTATTTCCTGTGAGATCTTAGTACTCACACTTGTCACCAGGAGGGGGAAACGTACCACACCGAGAATTACAATTAATGCAACAAATACACCTCAAACTTTTTTTGAGCTGAATGTAGACATAATCTCAAAATTGATGAAATAGTTATCAATATTGAAATTGGTTTGTTTTATTGAAGTGTAAAATCGTTGTGTATCTTTTACATTGGGCAGATTCTTTAAAAGGGAAAAAATCAAGATCAACAGAAGGGTGTGCATGGAATGTCAAAAGAAAATTCTCAAGGAAAAGCCAGAAATGGAAGCCGAAAGAGCAGAGAAGTGAGAAAAATAGATCAGGAAGCAGAACTTTCTAGAGTGAATCTTTCTATTATAGTAACTTTTGCTTTTTGCTAAATTATAGGGGCAAAATAAAAACCACTAACACATGGACCTGGGGCAACCTCTGGGTCTTAAAAAAACAGCTTGTGGTGTTCTGACCAGTGTTTTGGGGATGTCATAGAAGCAAAGGAAATGTCTCCTGAGTTCCTGGTGACTCTGCTCAGTTTCGAGCTGTCTGCCCCCCTGCAGGCTGAAGGATGCGGCCTCAGTGGCACTTAAACGGGGCTCTTGGAACCAGCGATGTCTGCATAGCTCACCAGGGAAATCATTTGGAGAGAGGAAACTGGTGAGAAAAAGTCATGGAATAATGACAGTACCGTAAGTATAACCGCAAATCAGTCTTGTAAGTCTGAGGCCTAAGAGTTTTCAAACAATGCCACATGCAGTATTATTTAAACATGAAATGGAATGGCATCTGCTCTGATGTTACTGCGTGCACACACTGCAGATCTGATCCATGTGACCCCTCACTGCACGTTAGGCTTGGCGTTGTGGGAGGGCCAACGACATGCTCATCACTGCACGCCCGTGCAGCTGCTCCCTCTCTAACTGCCGCACGAGCACCTCCCAGCTGCCCTGGACCTGTCCACCCAAGGCCACCACTGCCACAGGCTCTTATGCGCCCTCTGGAGCATCTTATATTCTGCTGCCAACTGGGAGCCCAAGCTGGATCTCACCTCACATGTCCTCCATGAGACCCCCTGGCTGCTCTTAGCTGCTGGACAGGGAGCTCTAACTGCCTGGGGGCCCTCACTTTCCACGACCCCACCTACCACAGCTACTCTAAGAGGGTCCTCTGTGGACAGAGGTGTCCCTGTGCTAAATGACACCCTGTCCTGCCTCTGGGCTCTACTTGTACTGCTCTTTTCAGAAGTGTCCTCCCTGCTAAGCTGTCACTCAGACCCCACTGGCCACAGTGTGGTGACCATAAAGGAACAGCCTGAAAGCACCCAGCACAGCACCCTCAGCCAGAGAGAGTTTAAAGTTCAGTGAAAAGTGACTCCGTCTCCTCTCTTTGGAAGGCAGGAGTCAGTCCTGCCAGGGCACTCACAGAGTGCAGGTTACGAGAGAAGGTTACACAGTGGCATTCCGAGACACAAAGCAGCCACTGAGGGTGTGTGTGCCTGCGCAACAGCCCTGAAACATCTGCTTGAGGAAGCTAGCTTGTGTGCTGGTTCAGAGTCCTGACTGACTGAGGATTCCTCATGGCAGTTTTGAATTACTAGGCCAGGCCTTGACGCTACATTTAAAACCAAAGTGCAGCAAGGGAGAGCAATGCTTTGTTCAGGTGTTAGGATAATAGCACACATCGCCAACCGGAAAGGCGCTAGCGGGGAAGGCCAGCAGCAGCACAGGACTCGTGGCAAATGTGGGACATCCAGGGCTTGCCCTGTGGCTCTCTTCCAGTTTACACAGGGTTGAAGAATTCCTGTCATCAGCCCATAATCAACCCAGACCCAAGTAACAGCCACATCTCAGAGCCCATTGGAGCAAGTGCTGAGGGCTCCGAGCACAGAGCAAGTGGAATTGCTGGGTCCGGAGATGGCTTCATGCATGGAGGGCACCTGTAGGAAGCGCCTCTGGAGCCAAGCGGCGGTGTGCAGACAGCTCCAGGCTCTGCTCCGAGTGCTGCCTACGCCTACCTTTGCAGTGCGTCACCCGGCGCTTCCCTTGGGATTTCGGAGACAGGGACAGAAGGGCTGGATAAAGAGACAAGGGTGCTGCAGGAACGGCTAGTCTACCTGTTCTGGGCTTTCCAGCCAGTGTGCCGGGGTCAGCTGGGTGCTACCTGCCCCCAGGGTGCCCCTGGGAACTTGGGGGCCCTGACACTGCGCTTACGTGGGCCTGGCTTCACGGAAGCACACGTGGGTAAACACAGAGCTGCTTATGTGTCTTCCTCTAGAACCCCAGGGGAAGGGGTGGGAAGTGAATAACTATATGAATTTATTTAACTGATTGCACACTTGTAAAAAAATTTTTTTTCACTTTACGTACACTTTTAAATAGGGCTACTATATTCAAAAAACAGTATCTATCTTATAAGGTGTGCTTAAAACAGATCTGTGGAAAGGTATGTAGGAACAATTAGTTTGCAGTCTAGGAAATTACAGGCAGAGAGAGAAGCCACTTTTAGGTACAGTTATGTAACTTGATGCACCAGAATCTTTCCCTGGGGGCAAATGCACTTGTGGGCCCCAGAGCCTGGTTAGTAAGGGAGGAATGAAAAGGCAACAGAAGTCTCCAATCAGGAAATTCCAGTAGGCAGGGCTGTGGCCCATTACTCTGAGCTCCTGCAGACGGTCAGGCAAGGGTTAAGACTGTTTCCCAGGGGCCACCAGACCCCCAGCCCCGGCCCCAAGCAGCCACTCTGGTGGCACAAACATCAGAGCTGTACCCTGAACGTCACAGGCCTGAGAGAGCTGCTGCTGCTCTGCCTGGCTCAGGCCCCAGCGACGGCCACTTCTGAAGGCCACCCACGTGGGCAGGGGACACCCAAACGAAAAGAAAGTCACACTTACCTGCACTGAATACAGGCTCCTTGGGCTTGCTGTGAAAACAAACCAAAGACAGTTTTTAAAGGGTGCCCGGGTCTTGTGCCCTCCCAGATCCACAGCCCCAAGTGGTGCACGTGAACAAGAAAACAAAACTGGATTCCTTGCAAAAGGAATGAGAGGAAGCAAAAATGTCCAAAGCCAGGTGTGAGAGATGGTAATCCTAAGTTTATCACCAAAGTTGTGCTTGTTGTGAGAGCAAGTACGTGTCTAGGGAGCAAATGTGGGTTGCTCAAGATAGGGTGTAAGAGCTTCGTGCTTCTTCCCCATGCTCTCCTGGCAGGCTTGACTTACAGAGATCTTGGGACTGTCTCTTGCCTGAGACCAAGCGCTGTCTCCTTGAATCTGAGCAAGAGGGGAGGCTGGGAGCTGTGGGGACCACGCTGCTGACCTCAGGGCCCTGGGCACTGCCCCAGGCACTATGGCTGGGAACCTGGCCCCAGGAGCTCTAGGACAGCACCTTGGGTGGACTGAGCTCATGCCTAGGGTAAATGTCCTACAGGTAAATTCCATGGAGGGTCCCCACATGCCAAGGGAGAGGCGGGCCACGGCGTGGCCACTACTTCCTACCCAACCCCTGTGTCCAGCAGAGCTATGGGGGACAGCGACACCTCTATTCTGACAGGACAGGGTGCTGCGGTGCTTTGTGTACGGTTTGACCCCAATGTTCATGTACTAGAAGCTTGGTGCCTACACAACAGTATGAAAAGGCAAGAGATCTTTACTTTTTTGAATCAGGATCTCACTATATAGTTCAGACTGGCCTTAAACTCACTATGGTGCCCAGGCTGGCCTTGAATTTGTGGTGATCCTCCTGCCTCAGCCTCCTGAGTGCTGGGATTTCAGGTGTGCACCAGCTCCAATAAACCTTTCCTTTCTCAAGTACTCAGTGGTGGGTATTCTATTACCCAACACAAAACAGCCTAAGGTGAACAGGAGTGGGGAACACGAGCCACTGCTTGCCTCCAACTGCAGCAGACCCCAAAGTCCAGGACCCCAGTGCCCAGCTTCCCTGTTCTGCTTTAAGATGTGGAACAAGACAGATAAAACAAGCCCAAGCCGGAGGAATGAAGGCTTTACTACCTCTCCTTACATACTGCTAGAGGCTTGGACGCTGTGTGTGTCTGCATAATTTAAACAAAGACCTGAGTAGAGAGACTCCTAATGTTACTTCTTTTCTTCCTAATTTTTAACTTTAAATATGGGTCTGCTGCTTTGCTAAGGTTTGCAAAGCAGCCCTCATTTCACTCAACAGAAGTTGGCGAATCTGCCACTGGCTGTTTTCTAAACTCTGAACTGTGGTCACTGAGAATCTCACCCTGTAAAAGCCCAGTGTAACCTTTTAACCTAAGGGCCTAGGCTGGTGATGGTGAACCTTTTAGAGCTGTCAATGGCACAGACAGCCCGCTGTGGCACAGGTGCCAAGGGTTCGCCACCACTAGCCTGGGCCTCATATCCACGGACCGCCTCTCCCTCCACGGCTTCCCTGTGTCTCTGCGAACCCACTGACCACCCAGGCTCCGCTCCTTTCCTCTTCAGGGACAGCAGCCCCACAGGCACTGTGAGGCCTCCTCAGTGCCCTGCTGGACGCAGAGACCCCTGCAGGCCTCGCTGCCCCACCCAGCCCGGCTTCTCCACTGCTCTTCGTGGCCCCACATTTCAGTTCGTTTCTCTTGTTAGGTATGGACTCCACACAGGAAAGGAGCCCTCCTCCTGCCTCTCTGCAAAGATGCCTGCAGTGTGGCCTGTCCCTTTGGAGAGGAACTTGCCACCTGCAGGGGTTCAGCTTGTGTTCTCCACTCAGCGGCCTTGGCGCTCTTGCTGTGATACTGTGGATCACTTGGGTGTTCCCCTGTCATGGTGAGAGTGATGTTCCTGTGACCCTCCGTGTGCCAAATCTCAGCCCTCTGTCACGTATCTGCATTGCTGCTCCACAGGCAGTGAGGATGTGAGAGAGAGCGCTAGGACTGAGGAGGCCAAGGCAGGTCTCACCCTGTCAGAGACGTGATCAGAGTCTCAAACGACAGGAAAATGACCTTTCCCCATTATGACGTTGATCACAAAAGCAGGAAGATGCAAAGCCATGCACACAGACACAGCAATCCTGAACACTGTCTGGAAGAAGAAAAATGAAATCAGGGACTATGTTCCTCTGAAGAAGAGAAAATTCTTGGGAAATCCAAACCCCCATATAGGGAAGTCCAAGGCCTTCCGAGGCTGACAGCCTCTGAGACGAAGAAGATTTCTAATAGAAGGTTAAGGATAGCAGGAGTGTCAAAGCCTGAAGGTCACTGACAGAGGTGGCACTAATGTGTTTATATTTCTTCAAATCTAAACCATGGATCACTGTTGGTGTGTTGTGCCCAGACTACTGCTCTGGGCCAGCATGTTAGAAAATTACACTTTCATAAAGAAAATGGCATATTCTCCTGCATGGTGGCGCATGCCTGCGATTCTACAGGGATTACGTAGCGAGACCCTGTCACAAAAATCCAAAAGAGAAAGTGGCATACTTGCTTCAGGACCCCTCTTCCCTGCCAGTGCACCACACCTTTTCTACAAGGCAAGGGCAGCATCGTTCACCAAGGCTTTTCTGCCCACCTGGGGAAGTCACAAACACAAGCCTGGGAACTGACCAGGGGTTTCCCACCTCCCCAGAGCGGGGCACAAGCAGGCCTGGGCCAGCAGCTGGGGTGCAGCCCTTCTGGAACCCCATCACTTCTGGCAATGCTGGAGACGCACTTGGGAGCGAGCCCACTTGGGAGCAGAGGCGATCGCCTCTCTAGGGGTCACGAAACGTGGATCTGATGACCTTCAGCTCGGGTGTGGTTCCAGGGGCAGGGGCAGTACTCGGCCTTGTTCCAGGATGGGGACCAAGCCCCAGGCTGGCAGGAGACATCTCCATCCCTCGTCGCAGGCAGGGGGAGGCCGGGCGTCTGGCCCAAGAAAAGCTCCCTACCCTGAGTGCTAGGCTCAGGCCAACAGGCAGCAATGCAGCCAGCACCCAGGAAGTGGCCACAGTGCACTCCTGGCACTTCCACCCCATAAACCAGCCAAGCCGTCTTTCTGAACAGGCGCAGCCCAGCATCCTGCACACCGGGTCCCGGACACATCATGACTCGTGCCGACGTCTCAGGGACCAGCCCTGGAGCAGAACTGGCAGGAAGCAGATGGGAACTGAGGAGAGACACGGGCTTCTGAAAGTGATCAGGAAGGCCGGGTGGAGGGGGAGCCCATGCCAAGGCCGGCATGGTACTTCCTCAGCCTTATTCAGACTATAAAAGCCCGAGCTGCAGGTGAGACATGGAAATAAAATCACCACAGGAAGTCAAAAGATTCTATCATGTCAATAATAAGTCCTTGTAAAAGCGGTCCTTTTTTTTAAACTAAAGATGGGGTCATTTAGGAACTTATTATTGTTGTTGTTGTTATTATTTTGAGACAAGTTCTCTCTGTGTAGTTCAGGCTGGCCCTGAACTCACTACATGGCCTTGAAGTCACAGTGATTCTCCTGCCTCAGCCTCTCTAGTACCGGGATTACAGGCATACACCACCACGCCTGGCTAAGAACCATCTACTGAAAATGTTTACAAGTCACTGGAGACTTCACAGGGGACAAAAACTACAGCTTCCCAGACACTGCCAACCAAAATGAACAGCTCCAGCTCAACACAGCAGATGGAACAGACTTGGACGCCAGCCTGGGCTCGGGCTGGCACTTTTCCTCTGTGGGCCGAGGCTCCTTCTACACAATGGGGGCAGAAGCCCTGTGTGGTCCAGGCCGTGGCAGGACTAAATGACGGAGAGATGGAGGGAAGGGCACAAAAAGAACGAAACAGTGTTATGCACATGTAGCGACCCCTTGAGGAATGTGGTCATTAGGCACTGGAAACGTGCTAACACAAATAAAAACGTTTTAAATTAAAAAGGAAAAAATTAATTCATTAAACATATAAAAAACACGTAACAAAGTGCCCCAAACATTGTTATTCATTAATTCTGCTTCTTTCTTCCTCTAATTTCACCTAACAGTTGCAGACTAAGCTTAAAGAATGTTACCACCAATTATTTTAAAATATATTCAAAGGTAAGCGACTTCATAGCTGGAAACGCAAAACAATCTTCAGTAAAAAGACGCTTAATTTAGGGACTTGGTTTCCAGCACAGACTTTTTCTGAATCTAAAGTGTGGGTTAAATCACCGACCTCTGGGTGGCGCTATGCGCCTAGTTCTTCGATCGCGCTGGTCTTTCTCTGCAGCGTCCTTTGCGGCATTGAACAGATACTGAGCAGTTTCCGGGCAAAGCGACACAGCTTCTGCCCCACCAAAGCAGAAAAGGTGGATGGCGGATGAGGGGGCCAGAGTTAGGGTCACACAGCAACCGAGAGGCCCTGGCTTCAGACTCAGGACAGAGGCGTCCCGAGAGCCGGGCAGGATGCACTGCCGCCCCAGCCCCAGCCCCAGCCCCAGCCCGGGCACCGGGCGGGGACAACCTGGGGTCACTTGTGAAGTGAGTGAGTCTGCTGCTTCTCACCTAGATTTGCGTTTCGCTGCCAAGACTAAGTTTGAGCGTCTTCATTATTCAGCTGCTCGTGGGTTTCCTTGTCCGCACACTGCCTGCTCACACCCTGAGCTGCTTTTCCATGGCATTATTTTCCTTACCGGTTTGGGCCGAGTCTTATCCAAAGTGAGACAGCCGGCCTTCCCCGAGTGACCGCTGCTAGTCGCCGTGGGGAGTGGGCCCGCCTGGGCTGCCCCTTCCCCTCTCAGCAGCCGGTCTGTGTGCAGCAGTGCTCGGGGCTGCACGTCGCCTACTGAGTGAGCGAGGTAAGAGAAGTTTCAGAGTCCCCGACGCCCTCCTTTGCAGGCTGGAGTGGGGACAGGGACAGGAGCGGGGGTCAGGAAGTGTCCCCGAGGAGGCAGGTCGGGCATGGGGTGGTGTGAGGAGACCTGGACACACATCTGCCCGGTACCCTGGGGTGGGGAGAGGGTCCCA